TTCTGTCAGTTCAACCTTCAAAAGGCATTTTGAATTCATCAACTTTTCTCCCTGCCTACCACCACATTCTAGTCCAAGAATTGACCCCCATAATAATTTCCTAACTTTCTCTCCCTCCTCTAATCCCGTTCCTGGGATTTCTGTTTTGGAATTGTGAGTTTTACAACCTAATAGCACCCTGGGTCGTAGAATCCTGAAATCACATAATGCTAGACCTGAAAAAGATTTATGTCTCATTTAATCTATGCCCTGCGTTAGTAAGTATAGTCTGGGTTATGCTATAGAAATAAAAAGCCCCAAATCTCAGTGGCCTAAAGTAACAAAGGGCTCTTTCACACTCAGACCACGCGATCGTCACGGGCGTCTGAGGGCTCTGCTCTGAGCCACCCGCATTCCAGGACTCAGCCTAGTGGAGCAGCCAGGGCCTGGGATTTTGTCAGTCCCACGGACAAAGGAAAGAAAGGTACAGGGAAACATGCACTGTGTTCTCAACACTTCCCCCTAGAGTGACATACTTCACTTTCAATTAACTTCTTTTGCCGAAGCGAGTTCCGTGGCCACGCATGAACTGAAAGGCGCAGGGCAGTGTAGTATTTCCATGTGCCCAAATGAAGAACCAAAAATATTCCATGAATAGCACACATGACCCGCTCTCCATGACGTTTCACAGATGACGAAAATGGGACCTAGAGAGACTGTGTCAGTTGGAAGGTCCCGAAGCTGATTTGCATCATCGCCACGACGAAAACTGTCCTGGAGTCACTGTCCAGTGCTCTTCCTGATAATGAACCAGGAACTGCTTGTTCCCTACTCCAAACAAAATATATTTAAATGCCTTAATATCAAAATTTTATTCATATAAACTCCCTGTATTGAAATATTTTTGCACCTTTGCTGAAAAAACATAAAACATGGACAGCTGAGAGGCTTTGCTCCTCCAGCCTTGCTGATTCTCCAACGAGATGCCTCGGTGCGAAACCTCGCAAAATCGCTCTGGCCCGGCCGCTGCCATTTCTACCAAAATGAAATCATGTTTTACGCTTGTGATTCTAAACACACTGGCTCGAGAAATGTCAAGGAATTAAGCAAGAGAATTGTGAATCTGCATGTATACCAAGCATTGTCAAATTTGTTAGAAAGGTATTCACACGAGTTCCAACTAACAATGGCCTAGAGGAGGGAGGTTCATTTCACCCTTACGGCAAGAAGTCTCGATGTGGATGGCTGCTCGTGCTGGTTTTGTATCTCAGCGGTGTCAGAGCCCACGGATCTCTTGGTCTTTTCATGAGCACAGGATGGCTGTGCCTGTTCCTGCATTATGCCAAGTCTAGAAAAAGAGGGAAGATTGAAGCCAGCTGCGACCGCCCCGTTTATTAGAGAAGCAAAGCTTTCCCAGAATCAATCCCCTACCTCTCATTTTAGCAGACTGCTGCTGAGATCCCATTTGCCAGGGCTGGGGTTACATGGCCACCCCCAGCAGCGAGGGAGTTAGACAAACGGGAAACAAAATGACCATTAATTGGCCAAGCCTAACGCTGCCTGGAAAATAAGGGCTCTGTCGGCAAGACAGGGCACAGGGGTAGGAGGCGGCAGGAATGAAGATCGAGAGAGCAACTAACGGTGTCGGCCTCATGCATTGATTGAATAGAACGTAGCTTTGAAAGTATTTGTTATTTCTAAAGTTTACACAGAAACTATTGTGAATAAATAAAATATATATTGACCACTGAACTCACGGTAGCTGTGCTGTGCATCTTCACAACCGGCGAGAGTGAAAGACACAGTCATGCTGCGAAACGATGTCTCAGTCAGCGACAGACACTACGGGGTCCTGCAAGATTGTAACACCGTTTTTACTGTCCCTTTTCTATGTTCACATAGGTTTAGATACACAGATACTCACTGACATGGTTTGGATGTTCGACTCCTTCAAATCTCACGTTAAAATCTGATCCCCAGCGTTGGATGTGGGGCCTGGTGGGCGGTGTCTGGGTGGCGGGAGCAGATTCCTCAGAGACGGCGTAGCCAGGGCCCGGCACCGCTGCCTTCCTCCCTCACTCCTTCTCCCACCGTGCGACACGCCTGCTCCCCTCGCACCTGCCCCCTGAGAGGAGCTCCCCGACGCCCTCACCGGAAGCAGCTGTGGGTGCCAGGCTTCTCGCACAGCCTGCAGAACCACGCGCCAAATACGTCTCTTTTGTTCATAAATTACTCAGTCTCAGATACCTCCTTTACAGCAACAGGAAATGGACTAAGACCCTTGTCACTGTGTTGCATTTACCTGCAGTATCCGGTGCGGTAACATGCTGCACAGGTTTGTGGCGTAAGAGCAACAGGCTGTCCCCACAGCCTGCGTGTGCAGCAGGCCGCGCCATCTGGGTCTGCGTGCGTGCACTCTATGATGTTCACACGATGACACAATTGCCGAATGATGCGTTTCTCAGAACGTGTCCTCGTTAAGCAACGCAGGACTATACAACAAAGCTACTGCAGTGAGTTCTGCCATGATGCTTGTTTGAAAGCATAAATTTAACAATATTGATATATTAGGGAACTGTTTGAACATAACACAATTGCATGTTTGGTTTTGCGTGAATGCAGAGAACTGTACCCAGATCACCGGAGCCACATACGAATACACAAAACTCAACGCACGCCACCTCTCAGACATTCCCAGTGGCCTCAGTTTACCGCCTGTGCTGTGAGCTGTACCCGTCTACACCTGGTGCTGCGCCTTCCCCTCCGATTTCAAATATTGCTTCTCCCACCACTTCACAGTAATGCACAAGCTGTGGCCTGAGACCCACTTCCCCAAGCAAATTCCAGGGCTTTTTCACAATAAAGGGTCACATTTACTGCAGTATTTATGTATTTCTTAAACATTTATCATGTGTAACACCATGGTGCCATTTTTATTAGGTTTCTATCTGTTTTTTATGGGCCACCAACAAAGTTTCTGAGTGCTATGTCCCTACACCTCTTATTTTCCATAAATTCTAAGATTTAATTGCACGATTTTGCGGTGGTACTATAAATAACATATCTCTGGTAGTTACCAGGTGAAAAATACATACGTGTGTATATATATGCCTGCGTACATACATACATATATATTAGAAAACAATTGAGATTTTTTAACATAAATCAAAAAAGCTCTTTTTACATCTTAGAGGTAAATATACCTTTGGAAGTAGTTGTTAAATGCATTTGGGAAGTTTTATTTAAAAAGGCTATCAATTATATTAAATAAAAGCCATTCACTATGCCAAGCTATATATAGATGTCTCTACAGCGAGTGAAGATTTGTCATTTATCTTTTAAGATAATTATGCAAATTGTATTCAGCCCACACATCCTGAGTTGGGAAAATGGTTTTTGTCTCTTTTTCCTCACTTATAAATCTTGTCGAACAGGAGTTAACCAAGACTCAGGATGGGCAGCACAGAGCGGAATTTGGGTGGTCCTTTAGGATAGAAGGGACTCCATTTTCCTCCTCAGGGTCTCTCTTGTTTACCGAGGGCACACAAACACTCAGCACGTTCCCAGAGCCTCTGAGAACTCCCCCCTTGGGAGATCGCAGTAAATATGAGGAAAACAACTTCAAAAAAATTAATGAAAGGCCCATCGCGACTTGCCCTTCTCTTTCCCCACCCTCAGCCCTGTCCTTCCCACTTTCCATGGGCCTCTCCGATCTCAAACTTTTTTCCTTCTCTGTATTCCCAAGGTGGGCTGCCCTTCCCCGGCACTACATTTGTGGAAGCGACAGGAAAACGTCCTGTAGAATCAAACCCTGGCCACATGCGGTGGCTACACCTGTAATCCTAGCTCTCTGGGAGGCCGAGGCGGGAGGATCGTTTGAGCTCAGGAGTTCGAGACCAGCCTGAGCAAGAGCGAGACCCCGTCTCTACTAAAAATAGAAAGAAATTAATTGGACAATTAAAAATATATAGAAAAAATTAGCCGGGCATGGTGGCGTGTGCCTGTAGTCCCAGCTACTCGGGAGGCTGAGGCAGGAGGATCGCTTGAGCCCAGGAGTTGGAGGTTGCTGTGAGCGAGGCTGATGCCACGGCACTCTAGCCTGGGCAACAGAGTGAGACTTTGTCTCAAAAAAAGAAAAAAAGAAAAAAGAAATAAGGAAATCAAACCCTGACACGGTGCTCATCTTCCAAGGACCGAAACACAGTAGGACAGGATGGGATCACGAAGGGAGTCATGTCAGGCCAGGGCAGGGGGGAGAGAGAAATCCGGAAGGGCTCTAGGCCTCCGTGGCGCTCACTCCCCTCTGCTGCTTTTGCCTGCTGCCGGCTCGCTCTGGAAGCGAATCCTCACTTTCCCAGGCATGTGGGTCCGGGTTTGGCGAGCACGTTTTTAGTAAATGACCTCTGCATGCTCGCTGTTTAGAGGTGGATGCGTTGCTCTGAGTGCACGCAGCAATCATCAAAACGATTCCCTGCTCACTCTCACGATGCAAATGCAAATTCTCACAGCCTCGCGCTGACTCCAAGGGCCACAGGTGAGTGACTCCAGCCCAAAGCCACACAGAAGCCCCAGGCTGCCTCCAGGTCCGGAGCGCACCTGTGCACACCCACGGGCACACAGAACCCACAGCTGCAGGACATGCGGCTGGCACTTCCTCCCGTCTCGCCTGGCTCACTTTCCTTGCCCCCACCCCCCAGCCCGCGCCCCACACAATGGGAGTTTTGTTTGCTTCAGTGGCATGTGACAGCCAGGTCCCTGCTTTGCCTAGCTCTGTGCTGGGAGTCTCTCAGGTAACAGGTGGCAGCTTCCCCTGCTGGATTCTAGGTATAAAAAAGAATGACCTCATCGGGGTGGGGCTCTGGGACTCCCATAGAGGTGGCAGCCGCAGCCAGGTAACCCGGAGCGAAGCAGTCTGGTTAGCAAGGGGCAGGCAAACTCAGTCCAGCGGCTCAGACCCTCAGCCTGACGCGCCTTAGCGATCGGCGTCGCCTGCGAGCCTCTGCAGCCCGTCCTTGCCTCAGATGGAGCCCAAGGACACCGCTGGGAAAGAAAACATGGGCACCAAGAGAAAAAACCTGACCTTCCTGAGGCCCAGGCTCTATATGCTGGAGAGGAGGAAGACGGACACCCTGGTGGAGAGCGGTGCTTCTGGGGACCACTCCGGCACCTTGCGGAGGAGCCAGTCTGACAGGACCGAGTACAACCAGAAGTTACAAGGTAACCGAAAAGAAATCCATCAGCCGGTGTTACCGCGCTCCCGACTCTGTTTCTGCTGCTCTTCTGTTTGCAAAAAAAAAAAAAAGATACTCAAGGCAGAGAAGAAAATCAAATACACCTCTTCTTACACACACACACGCACAAGGAAAGGAAATGGGACTTGTAAATTATAGGGAAAAAATGTATTATATAATTCGATAGTTCTGAGTTACTCTTAATATTGCTGGGTTTTTTTCTGGTGAGGGTAATATTTTTCTTCTATCTTCCCCTTCTCTTCTCCCTTTCCTACCTAATTTAACAAGTGGGAAGCGCTGGAGAACAAATGATTCAGAAACCTAACAAAATAGTTAGGTGGCACATGTCACACCATGAGATTATCCAGGTAATTGCACTGAACTGTGGTTGTGCTTATCTCAAAGAGGCGCACGGAACTCTGATCACGTTCATGAAAAATAAGGAATGTTATAGCCAGTGGGATGATAAACAGGATTTGCAGAAAATCACTTAGGCGATCATTCCCTTAGAGTGAATCGAATAACACCCAAATATGGTAAGAAACGTTTAGCGTGCTCATGTTGAGTGACTTTTGAGGAAATAACTTCAGTTTATTTTGTAATGGTCATAAGACAACTTGGCACAGTTCGCATGGAGCGTCCCCTGTTTCAGGCCCTGAATTTCTATCCCTTCCCATCTACCCTCTCTTTTTTCCCTCCCTGTCTCCCGAAGGTCATCTGTTCTTGTAAAACTTCACTTGATGTTGACATTGGACAGAGTTTTGAGTCTGCACTGCCGTTCTTGTTATGTGATCCTTCAGAACCCGCCTCTCTGCTTCTTAGCACAGTATGTTTGAATTCTCACCGTGAGCTGTCATTTCGGACTTAAAAACTACAATGAGGTTAGAAAGACCAGTGAGACGTGCTTGCACTTAGCAGATCTCGTTCCTAAAAAATGAGCTTAGACCTGGTCATGCAAACTAATTAAGTTAAATAAGTTAAACACATTTAAATTAAAAATTATTACTATGAGTTAATGCATAAAAAAAATTCTGGTAGTTCAGTGCTAAAGTGCAGCATTAGTCTTATTCTTTAAAGAATTTTTTTTTTTTAAATAAGGGAGGGTGTTGTTTGATCTTTGAAATTAATTTTTCTCAAGGCAATGGATACATTGGAAGGAATGCAAATTTTAAAGTCACACAGATTTGGTTTTCAATCCTGGCTCTTCAACTTACGACCTGTAAGAATTTGAGCAAATTACTTTAAAATTTCTAAGTTTTATTTCCTCATCTTTGACAGTGGGACTAATGATACTTATCACATAGTATTGAGAGAATGAAATTAGAAAATTACATGAAACAGCTATTATATTAGCCGGTCGGTGTGTGCTGAATAAATAGTACTTATTTTAGATTTTAGGAATAATGGGTACCACAATGATAAAACAGGGCTTGCCCTCTATTAATCCAAATTTCTATATCTTATTAATCTTTTTCAACTCCTTTTTTGTCCTTTGATAACGAGATCTCATCTAGAAATTCAGGAAAGGCCCGCTGCTTTGCCCGTAATAAAATCTTTCTACTGAGTTTCACTAATTCAGCATATTTCTGGTTCAGGTTTTCCATTAGCAAAGTAAAAACAGAAAATAGCTTTTCCTACTCACAAATTTTTGCTCCTCATTTCCTAAATTCACCTAAAAAATAAGTCTACGTCTACAAAACATAGCAGATATGTGTGGGTTGTTTTGCAGAAGACCTCAGTCTTCTTATACACGTCAGGCTTTCCTGTGCTCTGTTGGATTCTGTCTCGAAAGTGGAAGGCAAGACTCAGGAGTTAACTTACGCCCCAGAACTGTCTGTGCTTGAGGAAAATCACCAAGGAGTGTAGAGGAGCACATAAGCCCTCCTACAGTTTTTAGATGTAACTTTTAATAAAATCCAACTCTGGGCGGGGCCCAGTGGGTCACACCTGTAATCCTAGCACTTTGGGAGGCGTAGGCAGGAGAATTGCTTGAGGCCTGGAGTTCGAGAGCAGCCTGGGCAACATAGTGAGAATCTGTCTCTAAAGAAAAACTTAAAAAATTAGCCGGGCATGGTGGTGCACGCCTGTAGTCCCAGCTACTTGGGAGGCTGAGTGAGGCAGGAGGATCTTTTGAGCCCAGGAGTTTGAGTTACAGTGAGCTATGATGGTGCCACTGCACTTCAGCCTGGGTGACAGAGAGAGACCCATCTCTAAAAATAAATAAATAGATAAAATAAATTAGCACTCTTCAGCGCTACTTTAAAAAAAATTCAAATCTGATTATCTTATGTCTGATAGAACTTTTAGCATGATTCTACTATAACTACTGTAACCCAACAATAGGAGGCATTTTCTCATTAACGTTCAAAGCTCTGGGTTAGTTCTCTGGCCTGTATAATACTCATTATCATGCAGGTGAGTGCTAAATCACCTTAAAAAGCTCTTTATTCCTGAAATGCCAAGAGCTTTTCCTGTTTTCCTTGGGACCGGTAGTCCCTGAGAGGCACAGGATAAAGACCCAGGCTGGTGGGCCCTGGGATAGACGGCCCGAGGCCACTGTGAGATCACAGTGCACTTTCAAACACAGAAATTCCTGGCACCTCCACGGTCCTCAAATTATTTTGTCCTTTGGTGCCGTGTTACTTGCGTAAAACAATTCACTGCTCTAACTCTTTCCAGGAACAAGTTCTCTGGGTTCTGAAAAATGTCTTCCTTTGGTAGCCCTGAGTTGCCCCTTTACTACACAGCCTACCTATTCTGTTCGATTTCTCTCATCACTTACACGTGAATCCTAAGTTGTAATAATAATTTTTAAAATGGTACACGGGGCGAGAGCTACTGGATTCGACCCATAGCACGTGGCTGTAAATCTTTGTGGAAGATTGTGATCACATCGGCACGATCGTTTCTAAAAGCCTCAAGTCAACATGATACGATAATAGATAAGCCACCGTTAAGCTCCTACCTAACGGCTACTCCACTCCTTAAGCAGATTCATTCAGTTAATTGGCATTTATTGAATATGATATATGCTGTGTCTTCCAAATTAGTTTTTCTCACGGCGATAGATTCATTGGAAAGAGTGCACATTTTAAAGTCACACACATTCGGTGAAATTGGCATTTATCAGATGTTACGTGCTGTGTCTCGGGGTTACAATGAAGAGCAAAAACAGAGTATGTGCCAGGAATTACAACCGCAAAGTCATCAAGGGAACGTTGCTGACCTTTACTCCAAAGACGCTGAGTCTGGTGGGGAAGATAAGGCAGGTAAACACACAAGTGCGACAACTGGCAGGACAGGAGCAAGGCAGGATCAGCGGGCCCACACAGGGAGGGAACGGTGTATCCGGGTCGGTGGAGGAGGCTGCCAGCGAACTGTCTTTAAGAGACGGAAAGGTGGGGATGGGCAGGTACAGAAAGGGAGGAGAAGGGGGCTTTACCGTCCTGTCACTGCACTGGGCTCTGTCTGAAATTACAACATGTGCTTGCTCCTTGTTTGTCATCGATTACTGACTCTGGTTCCCCTCCCTGCTCTCCCACTCCCCCACCATGCTCCATGAAAGAGACCCTATCAGTCTTGCTAACTGTCCCGTCTCTGCGGCCCAACACACAGTAAGCGCTCAGTAATTGCTCAATAGGATGGATGCCTTGAAGCACCGGCCCGAGCAGGGAATCGGTGTGAAGAAAGGCACCGGGGCCCGAAATAAGAGTCTCGTCTGTAAGTATCTGCCTGTGTGAGGATGCATGGTTCTACGAGTGAAGAAGATTCTTCAGTAAAACAAATGAACGTATCAGAGACTAAAAGGGATAGAGTCGCTCGTACGACGAATAGTTCTTCATGGAAGCTGACGTCATTCCCAGCCTTTCCCTTTGGAGCACACAGCAATGAAACCTCGGTCGCTCTTCCTCTGTTCATGACAGAGAGACAGCTGCGGGCCCAGCCCCCGGGCCAGGTCCGCCCTCACTGCCCTCACTGGGCGCGTAGCGAGGATCTAAATGAAGAAATTCCGTGGCTGAGTCGCAGAGACTCAGAGAGGACTTTGTATCTGATTGTGTATGTGAGCTCTACATTAGAAACGTGCCTGATCTAAGTAGTCATGCAAAGTGTGTTTGCGCACATGCAGACAATTATCATTTCCAGCATGTAGATACGTAATGTGTGTGTGTGTGTGTGTGCTTGAGACATATTTCTGTGATGATTAAATTGTCTATTGAAAGTTGATTAACAGTCACTAGTCTCTTCTGAAAGATGTTACTGGCATTACGGTTTTCCTTTCGGTATGAGCACTGTGGACTGGATGTCTCTCCAAAATTCATATGTTGAAGCCTAATTCTCAAGGTGGTGATATTAGGGGTGGAGGCTTTGGCAGGTAATTAGGTCATGAGGTGGGGCGCTCGTTAAAGGGGTTAGTGCCCTTGTGAGGAAGGGTGTGAGAGAGCTCCCTTCTCTCTCTGTGCCCTCTGGTGCTAGGACGTTGTACAAGAAGGTGGCCACCTGCAAACCAGGAAGTGGTTTGCCGGAACCTTGATCCTGGATTTCCCAGGCTCCAGAACTGTGAGAAAGAAACGTTTGCTGAGGCCGGGTGCGGTGGCTCACGCCTGTGATCCTAGCACTCTGGGAGGCCGAGGCGGGAGGATCGCTCAAGGTCAGGAGTTCAAGACCAGCCTGAGCAAGAGTGAGACCCTGTCTTTACTAAAAATAGAAAGAAATTATCTGGACAACTAAAAATATATAGAAAAAATTAGCCAGGCATGGTGGTGCATGCC